CAAAAAATCTAATCTTTTCTCTTAGTAATATGAACTAATCAGTTATAAAACCAGTATAAACATTTACTACGAACATGTTAAATTATACCTAGGTGCAATATGTTATCTGAACAGAGGGACATTACCTGCAGAGATGACATATGATAGATTACAAAGAGAACACTATTGTAACTATATTACTGTTACATTATATCATTTATATCCTTTAATCAAAAGCATTGTTTATATTTGTGTGCACAGAGAGACCACCTGTGATGATCTGCATTCATATTACTAGCTATTATCTGCAGCTACATTCACATCGAAACAGTGACAACTTATCTGTATTTGATTATTATCTTATTAATTTTTTATTTTGCAACAAATATTCTTTGTCCTTCTCCGAAGTCCAGTCAATTTTGTAAATCTTGATGATTTACAAAATTGACTGGACTTCGGAGATTTACAAAATTGACTGGACTTGTACATTAGCACGAAGTAGACTGCAAAGTTGTCTGGGTAAGTACTTCAGTCTCACCTATTAGGCCTGATTTGACAAGCTGCAGATTGAATTGTAAGATTTATTTCAGATGTAGCGTGTAGTAGGCAGTGTAATTACAGGGTAAGAAGCATTATATCATAGTCCTCTGGAATAGCAACGCATATCACGTGATAACCATATGTCCATAGTGCCCCGCATGTACGAAATGTTTACCGTTTACCATCAGGTAGGCCGTCAGCTCATCTTTTTGAGTGAAAATGTAACAATTATGTAATCAGACCGATTTAATATACTGTTAATAATAAGCTTACTTTTTCAACAACGACCGTGAAATTATTACTGGTCATTTTAGGACATCAGGATTACCTATAATAATCAAGAATACTAGACTTGTAATTATAAAATTCACTTTAAAGGCTTATTCATTCAATGCCTTGCGTTCATACTACAATTTGGTGACGGCACAGTATTTATTTACCTCTGATCCCTATCGGCCATCAATTTGCCAGCTTAATTTGCCAGTTCTCTTTTAATATTGTCCATGTATTATAAGTGCAATGCTATAGTGTGTATGCAACTAGAACACACAAACAGGAGAAATGTAACTACAATGCAATGATGTTGAACTATTTTTAGTTACAAATATTGGTAATTTATTTTCCACTCGTAACCATTTGCGCAACTGAGAACGTAACGTGACAATAATGGCAGCGGCGCCAGACCAGACCGGCCATTACTGATTATCGATATAATTGTTCCAATACACTCGACCTGCCTTTAAGCATTAGCGCCGCATCTGTTTCGATGAAACAAATAATCCAAACTACCTATAAAATCTATTTTGAACATTGCAACCATAAACTATTTATATTTAACTGCCTTGGAATTTTTTTGTTATAGCCTTTAATCTATGATTTAAGGAACAAACTCCTTTCAATTAATGTAATTAGAAACATTCGAGTGCTTAGTTTTTGCATCACATAACATAAATTGATTTATTTATATTATACATTTATAAAGACACATAATACTCTACGATTTGTTCTCAAATATGTGACTTCCTTAATTCTCCTAAAATAACTATAGTTTAGATTAATTTATGACGTAATCAACATTCTATTGGTTTCAAAGCATGTTTGATAATAAGGCGTAGGTATTAGTATTATTCAATATAGTTCAAATTCCTTGGGATTTAGTTAAATTCAAGTCTTATTTGCTACTAGCTGTTCCCGCGACTTCGTCCGCGTGGAATTTAACTTTAATTTTCTAAAATAAAATTAGCCTAAGTTACTTCTTATTAGATCAGCTACCTGCCAAAAAAAGTCCCGTCAAAATCGGTCCAACCATTTCAGAGATTAGAAGGAACAAACAGACCGACAGACAGACAAAAATTGTAAAAAAAAATTTTTTTGGTGTATGTATCGTATTTCTATTTCTATTTATATTCATATGCATGTAGTAAAAAACGGTTATTACAATATTACACACAAAAACACTCCAATTTTATTTATATGTATAGATTTATTATTAAGTTTAGAAACAACGTACTTAAAAGTATACTGCCGCTATTGTTAAATTTACTGCATTTAAAAGAAAAGAAAAGTAAAAACGAAATCTATACCACCATTGCCTACGATTTTTCGATTGGTTATAAAAATTAGAATTTACCTACTAATAACATTGTTAAAGCATATACGATACATAATGAACTTAAAATTGTATAATGTAATATTATATATGTTTTGTGTATCATGAATCATTTCACCAGTCTTATCGAGTCTTATCATAGGCACCTATATACTGACAACAGCAGGTAGGTACAATGCGATGATGATAAGATAACTTACGATGACGACAATGTTTAATAAATAGCTTCATGAATTGTGATATGTAAATAAGTTATCGTTTTATTGCAATACCTATATTTAGTAAACAATATTCCAATGTCTTTTTATCAAAATAACTGAGCTTATTTTGATATACTGAACAAATAATATAACAGTTTCATGTTATATGTTTGAGACTACAGTTAAACGCGCTCAAAATTCAAATAAAAACAGGTCCTAACAAAATAGGTCCTATTCCTAATTATTAATCCTATTAATCCTGTTCAAATGGTAATTATAAGGATCTGTAATTCAGTTGCAGTAATGTTAGATGGTAGATGTTGCAACTGCTATTCTTATGTAGAGTTATACCTATAACTAACCACCGATTAAGATTTTTTAGGAGTTTTGCTCGAAGTTCTTTTGATTTTAAAGTTTGTTGGTTTTTGTCAAAAATGGCATAAAATTATATGTGATAACGCAACATACCTGCCTTTGATAAGATACAGCAGGCATAGAATACTGACATATATCGAACTAAACAAACACTTCGCTAGTTTCGCACCTCAGTTCAGTTTCACAATTGATTTATGAGAAAACAAAGAAAACAATTGGGATAAAATCATACTCAGTCAATTGTTATATACTTAAGTTATACTATATTTTAATGCAAATACTAATAGGTAGGTATAATTATCTACTTGAAGATGATATCGTTTGAAACCATACAAATGTTGCGAGGTACTGTCATACAAGCAGTATAAGTAAATAGTCACATAAATGCATGTTTCAACGCAGGTACATGTTACAGTGACCACTTTTACTTTATTTTCTAATTTGATATGTAAACAAACTGTAGATTAGAGACTGGAAATAATATTGTTTTCTGTAAGATTCTCTTCCTATATCAGTTTCCCGCAGTTTTGCCGCCGCAAAGCCAATTTGGATTCCAAATCGCTTTATGGAGATTGTTTACTGTGTATGCACAATCTCCTATTTCTAGATCCAGAAATTTCAGTTGTGTTGAATGTTGATCAATTGCTGAGCTGGCCATTGTGGTAGGTGATGTCATCTTATACAATGGAGGAGTTAAACTCATATCTTATAATGCGCTCAAACGATTCTCAGAATAGATACACCATGCATTCTGAGACAGTAACATTCTCGCTTATGCCTATGTAAGGTGCTTCACGCACTATATATTTAAGTACGAAATATATTAATTATATTTAAACACTTATTTTTTTAGTACCAAGCAAAGATTTAAAGTCCTTCCTATCATGGTTTAGGCTGACTTTTGATAAGACCCTATATTGTTGGACTGTATGTAAAGAAACGATCAAATGATAGTACATTAACTACACCAGTTTATACGACAATTTCATAATTATCCTGACAGAAAAGTAGCAATCCAATGTTGTTTCTCAAATCTTTTGTACAACATTCTGTCGTGAATAATAAATGAGGAAAGATAAAACAATAAGTATATATTATTTAACGCTACAAACCCGGCAATTACCTAGTCTACCTAAGTGCGTTTTATATAATATATCTACAAAATATATATAATAACGTATATTATTTATTATGCCCTATCTCCTACTATATGATAATTTCTACTAGTTGGGTACGGTATAATAATATATGTGTGAGGAACACAAAAAGTTTTCGGAACACTAGACCCATATTTTAAATACGTATACGTAAAACTGGCAACACTTTTTAACTTACTTAGATACACAATTACCGAGCAATAACTTGAAATGGCATAGCATCGCTTTTCTTGTTCCCTTTGATTTTTGTTGCCATTAGTAAATAGTAATTAAAAGCATAACCTAACATAAATACATGAGCAACGGTTTGGAAAACCTAATATAAGTAGTACCTACATAAGTAAAGGTTTCAAACAGATTGTTGCGGCAAGAGTTGGTAGCTACCACGAAAATTTACATTGATACAAATAGACAAAGCTACACAAATTTCTCATAATTATGTAGGTAAAGTCACTTTTGTTTCATGTTTTTTTATTGATGATAATGGATTGAAGCACCTGCATGCGCGAAACATTTACGTTGGCGGCGCATCAGTGGAGGATGATACTATGAGCAGGTCAGGTCAGTTAGCCTATGGTGGCAAATTCACAGGGAATTTACCACAATGGTTTCCAAGGGAAACCGAAAGTTTACTCCACATTAATAACAATCCCCTTTCCCCACCCACCTCCTTATGGTAGAGTTCTTCAATGCAATGCCGCTTTGTTCCAATGTCAAAAAAATATCCACTCATATCTGAATGAAACAATTAGGTAGGCCTATAGTTAGCGTGAAGCCTATGAACGAATGTAAGCAAGATCTATCTACACTTACCTAACATTATATTAATACGTTAATAATAGTTAATGACTACCTACTACGTAGATATTGTTTCGGATATTCAGATTTGAAAATACCTAAATAAATACCTGTGGACTTCAAATTGTTTCTTAAAATATCATCTTATAAGTAAAAATATATACGTAACTATCCGCTACTGCCTTTAGTACCTACATACACTTATGATAGGTATTAGCTACAACGCACACAATTGATATTACTATATTATTACTTACTTAAGCCTCTGATGTCTTGGAAACATTATCTTCTACATTATTACCTAAATCTACGCTAGATAAAATCAAACAATGGGTGACTTACTTGAGATAATAAACTTGTCCTTCAGGAGTTCGAGCTTGCTCCCAACCAGGTGGAAGAGGGCCAAGTTCATCTGGAATATGCGATGCGACATCATAGGATCTTTGTTTTGTGTGCTGGTGATGTAGCGGGGGCTGCTGAGTCTGTTGGCCTGCTGCATAAGTTTGTTGTAAACTAGCTGGTGATGAATGTGCCCGAGAGTGAGAAACTGGTGCGGCGCCAGTCGCTGACGACGACCCGAACGCAGAATCAGCCGAGTTTTCCCGCGAGTGAGACACAGATGGCGACTTGGAACCGGTTGACGGCGGGTTAAAGAACGACTTTGGAAGCTGTCGCATACGGAGAGGCACCTGTAGCGGCCGTTTTGAGTCCGGCTTAAGCACTGTGTCGAACAATGACTGTAGAACCGAGTCAGAATCCTGGTCCACGCGGAGGACCAGGTTCGATTTCTGTTCACCATCCGAGTTGAGAGCCATAATTATGTCGGAACGAATAAATCTCGAAACCGACCTGGCCCACCGCTGTGACACAACACTAACACGCGACGGGCTGGCGCGACGCCACCCAACGTCTTGTAAATATAGCGCTCGCTGCGCGACTGTGAATATGTGACTGACTGACGGCAGTGACGCATGCTCCGCCCGCACCGCGCAAAACTCCCTGCCCACGCGCACCCAACACAAAGTGTGACCATAAATTTGTGGTCGTTCCCTGCCGTTTTGAATTTAAAGTTTACCATATTTTAACCTACAGTATAAGTATTTTGTTAATGTTTTTCAGTGAAAGGTAACGCTGAAACAATATACGAATATAACTGTCCATTTCATTATCCTCTTTCTTATTCAATAGATTATACAGCGCAGCCCCAATCCTCTACAACAAAATGAAATGTTTATAAATAACATGTTTCTTAAACAATATATCACCTGTTTTTCACATATCTTTTGTCATATATTGTCATAAAAAGAAGAGGTTTTATGAATATCATTATATCACCATCATATCATTTATCACACAGACCATTAATCTGTATTTGTAGTCTGCTCTCTTTCCATTTGTCCATGTGTTTTTTTAGAGAGCATATCATGCAGAGAGCATGATATATCATAACTCATATATTCTCTATTACTGGCACAACTTAACAAATTTTCTTATATTTACATGTTCCTTAATTTGTCATTCCTTTTTACCCCACATGTCCGACATTAACTAAAACATGGTACCCAAAATCGGAACAGACTAAGTATTACCTAACTACACTATTTAGGTTGATTGGCTTGAAAGTAGGTAGACAGCTGAAACCGAAGCCTAGTGTAGGTTTATAGTCAGTAGCGCCTGCCGACGATCGTATGTTACTGTTAAACCGAATGTACATGCCGCGAATTAGATCCTCATACTTCAACTTAGTTCTAAACTTTATTTATCGCATAGCTGGCATAGTGAAAAATGAATACCGAATTGGTTTTATAAAATATTACACGTCTTTCGCAAGCGACTCTCTAGCATTTTCTCCCAGACTCTCTAATTCTATGTGACATAAGCTTTATGCGTCGATACTCGATAGGTACCAGTATGCTATGTGATTGTTCTTCAGGAATTAAATAACATTATGTACGTATGTATTACAATGAATATGGCAATAAGACAGATGGAGATGTACCTGTTTTAGATACCTAATGTACAAAAAAGAATCTTTTTAATATTGGTATTAATAACTTTTAAATTAACGAACTGATCTTTCATATCAATATGATATTTTAGTCACAATAATCTAAATAATGTCATCCATTTTGCATGTGAAATAGTCTTTCAAAGACTAAAAATACTTACTAATCAGCCAAAACATAGCCTTCTATCTGCAAAATGTACATATATATTACAATGAATTTGGTAATTAGACAGATGGAGACGTACCTGTTTCAGATACCTAATGTACAAAAAAGAATCTTTTTAATATTGGTATTAATAACTTTTAAATTAACGAACTGATCTTTCATATCAATATGATATTTTAGTCACAATAATCTAAATAATGTCATCCATTTTGCATGTGAAATAGTCTTTCAAAGACTAAAAATACTTAGGTACTATTTAACCAAAACAGAGCCTTCTATCTGCAAAATAGTCAATTTCTGACACATTAATATTAGGTACTATCAAATTATAATTAAAAATGTTTACTGCGAAACAAATGTATTAGTATATGTAATATGGATCCGTACAAGTAATGTACGGATCCATATTAATTAATGTTAATTATTTCAGATAACAAGGCGAGTATTGAGGCTATTTGACAAAGAAGAAAAGCTCCCAAAGTTTCAGCCAAACACGTATTGTTTTAAATGAGACCAGCTTGATTCGAAAAATTGGTGGCACATATACGTACAAGAAATTTTTTTCACATGTTCTTTCTAGTTCTTACATATTATTATACTGTCCATATTTTAGCAGATTGATATGGCAACTGGCAACATTGTTGCAATTTGTCAATTGACTGAATTTGACAGTTTCACTCAATTTTACTGTCAAGTCAAGTACTGTCATTACTGTCAAACAATATGTCATTTGTCGTGTTTCGTTCTTCACATACTAAGCAAAAATGGAGTTTGCGCACTATTTTATTGTTTGTTCCTCTTTGAACGCGCTATACCATAAGAAAATTATCAATAATAATGAAGTATACAAAGCTCCACGCGCTATCTCGCAACGCGCATGCGTTGTCACTCATTGGAAAAATCATTACGCTATACTTGGTTAGTGTTAGCTATACTGGTTTTAGGATTTCTAAATACTTACTAAGTAATCATTGTTATGGATCTTCAAGCAAGTTTTGAGAAATGCTGTCGTCTCTGCGCAGAAGAACAAGACGTCTCAATTATGATATTCAGCGCTGAAGCTGAAGCCATGCTTCTTCAAAACAAACTAAATAACTATTTGCTAATTGAGGTAAGATAAAATGGTAGTATTATTTAAGTTATCCTATTTTAATTTTCTCTTTAATGCTTTCAATTATAAAAACTTCAGGTTGATGAAGATGACAAATTACCAAAAAATATTTGTTTGAAATGTTGTACAAAACTGCAAACTGTATGTGAATTTATTGATACTGCTCGCAAATCACAAGAAATACTGACAAAGAGTAGCCTTCTGCTGGAACAGTACAATAGTGATAAATGTGAAACAGTAAATTTAACTCCAAAGATTAAATTAGAGGCAGAGGAGTGCTCTGATGATGAAAGTAAATTTACTGAAATGGAAATTAGTGTTGATCCAATGATGGTTCTACAAAATTCTGATGAGACATTATCTCCTGCAAATGATGAGATTTCACCCAATTCAGAGGATGTTACCCATTTATATACAGTAGACAGTGAAAATGTTACTATAAAATTAATAAGAAAAAATGATGAACACTGTGAAAATGATAAAAAATCAAACTCACCTGCAGATGATGGTGTAAAAGACACAACTGTAAAACCTTTTGCATGCACCACTTGTGACAGAAGTTTTTTTACTGAATTGGCCCTTAAAAACCATTCCTGGATACATAATAATGATGAGAAAGCTCATAAACAGTACAAATGTAGTTCTTGTGAGGAAGACTTTGATGTAAAATTAGATTTTATAGAACATTTAAAAGAACATAAATCAATGGGTCTATGTCAATTGTGTGGAAGAAGGTATGTGAAATTTATATATATATTTGCATATGTTTTTTTTATTAACATGGTTGTTTATATTTTTATATAATTGAAAGAGCAAAAAATTTATGGTAAGCAGTAATATTTTCTCATGTACATTACATGTCATTATCATGTGACATCTGAGATACAACTCTTGCATTGCCATGCTATAGGACTATGATGTTATGCCTCTTATCCTGTAAATGCTGTGCGTAATCTACACCCTACAACAAAAAAACAACTTATAAAACAGGCGTATCCATGAAGACAACTTTTTATAGTCTATCTCAGGAAAAAAAACAGCTGAGATTAAATCTGCCTAACAGGCAATATAACTACAATATTGGCACAAATTATCATTATTTGATATATCAGACTCTTAAACATTACATAATTTCATAAATTATTAATTATTTTAACAGAAAAATTGTGAGGTTTAAACCATATTGTCTTTCAGTTTCAGGAGTGAAAAAAATTTGAATGCACATATGACAGCCCACTTGTCATCTGCAAAGTCTTACACATGCAAAGTGTGTGGACGCTCATATAGCACAATGAGCAATTTAAGAACGCATAGCATTACACATAGTAACGAGAGGCCTTATCACTGTCACCTTTGCAAGAAAAGTTTTAAACGTAATCAGGATTTAAAGGTAATAAATTTTGTTATATGATTATCCTAAATGTAGAGCTATGTGCAAACATACATACAATACATGTAATGTTGAAACAAAACAACTAAGAAATAATTCTTGGGATATCTCCATCTCATTAAGAAGAGCAACCTATTGAAATAAAAAAAATACACTAAGTATTTTCTTTTATTTCCATAGTCTTCTTGTTCTGGCCCAAATATTTATTATTTATTATTATTTGATCTTTTTTTCTTTTAATATGTAGTGGTAAAAGAATATTATGGATAGCTTTGTCTAGTGCCAAACTTACTAAAGTGTATACTGTAGCTACTAAACTAGTCATAGTAATCCTTTTATTTTAAAATAAAATGCATAGACAAACAGTAAAAGCAATTTACTCTACTTTATTTACTCATCCGAATTGTGCAAGAATCAAACAACCATAAGAAGCAGTGTCTTTAACTGCTATGTTACCACAGCTATGTTACTACCTATTTCATACTAATGTACTTATGCTTGTAGTTTCACATCAATCAACACACTGGTGCTAAACCTTACAAGTGTCCCTTCTGTGAGAAGAGCTTTGCTAGTTCAGGCAACTGTTATTCGCATCGAAGCCGCATGCATCCCGGTAAATGCCTTGATAACAAACGACGCCGTCGCCCAGCTACGAGAGAGTATAGTCAAGTATTAGCAACACGACCCATTGCGCCTAAACCACCACTCATTGCTGTCAAAGGGATGTTTAAATATCAGTGTACCATGTGTGACCATAGCTTTATGAAGAGAGACAATTTCACTGTAAGTGTACTATGTAATGTTAATATGTGTTTACACATAAGATTTTATGGAAATTTATCACAGAATGCTAGTAGGTACTCTAATGTGTGAATTTCTTTATTAATTTAGCTCCTTATATCCTTATATGCATTTGGTCCTAAATATTTTATTATTACTTCACATAAAATGGCAAGATCTATTTTATGTGGTGTAAATTGTTTTATAAAAATTTAATAATTAAGTTAAACATATAGGATGAAGTACACAATACTGTAGCACAGTATTGTAACAGCTTTTTCATATGTGTAGCAATAAACTGAATTTTATTATCATATAGGTGTTTATTTGTTCTTATGGATGATAATGGAATAGTGCTCATGTCTGCGCTAGTGATTTATGCTGATGGGGCACCGATGGAAATTGATAGAGCATGAGATCAGGTCAGCTAGCTCATCATGATAAATTTCCTATAAATTTATCACCATGGTTTCCAGTGGGAACAACATCGAGGTTAACCTGGCATGATACATTGCTAGCAATATAATAATAGCAATGGGTCCACATTACTAACAATAAACCTTCCCCCCTGTGTTTATTTGTTAACAACAGAACACTTAAAAAAATTAAAGTATTAATAAATTTGTATGGTAAGCATAAATTGATTAATAAACTTTTTTTTTCAGTATCATATGTACCAACACACAGGAGAGAAACCATTCCAGTGTTCATTTTGTAATGAAAAATTTGTTACAAGAAGAGGCCTGTTAATACACCACGACAAGGAGCACCCTTCAAAAAATAGGCCTCTTGCACTCCTGACTAAAAACATTTTACTTAAATAGTTTTTGTATAATTTATGTACCTTGAAGTACAGGATTCTCAAGAAAAAAAATAAACTTCGTAATGTTTGTGACTAATATTTTGTTTTAGTACTGTCTCAATTCCCATGTATGAGTATCTTGGATATGACATCGTAATGTCAATGCGATTTTTGCGTGGAGAAATTCAAGAATGAATATATTTAGTGTGAGCTTTTATCGCTAAGCAATATTTTAATATTGTTAAATCATTGTTTTTTTTTCTTAAATCGTATAGAACAAACTTAGGAGTGGTAAATGAATTTAATTTTACTTTCATTAATTTATTACTAATAATAAAATCTGTCATTTGGTAAAATATATAGTTGTAAGAAATACTCTAGGTTTTTTTATATACCACAGTGGTGGTAACTGTACATATAAGCCCTTGGTATACCAGTGAAGTGTCATATGTGCATTACAGAGATACCTAAATATCATACTTCTTTTTTTTAATAAATCATAATGGAATAATACACCTGCCAGCGCTACCGGAATACGCTGGCGGGGCACCAGTGGAGGCTTATAAGATGAACATGAAGTCAGATCAGTTAGCCCTTCGTGGCAAATTCAGTAAGATACTATCACATATTATATTATCTGTGCTATCACGATGGTTACTAGGTGGAATCGCGTGGAGATAAACCTAACATGGTACATTGCCACCAAGGAATTAGTCAAAATTACTAACAATTCCCTTCCCCTTCCCTTTTAATCCCTTCTCAATCTACCATTCATATAAAAGGGGAAGGGTACTAACTTAAGAATGGTAGAACTTTATTTGCGATAAAAAAGCTATGAAATTGTCAACTTTGGAGAAAAGTTGTTAATGTAATTTTTGATTGTAGTATGTGGTTCAACTGACCGAAATGAGCCCAATTCATTTTATTGGTCAGAGTATCCTGTTGTCATCATTTTCGCGCAAGATGTTTAGTTTTATTTCTGTTATTAAATTAATATTAAAACGAGTTTCCGCTCGAAGAGGTGCGGATAACTCGGATCTAATGAGGACGGTAGGGAAAAATTGTTATATAAATTAATTTTACGTTCATAAGCGGCTATAACTTTTTTAATTATATTATATTTTTCTCTATTTCAATGACATAAGGTTACCTAAAGTAATAACAACAAATTAAATTACGATTAAATATCAAATTAAAATACATATTTATAAATAATTCCTTAATGAAAACTACATTTTTTTTTTCATTATAGGTAAATTTACATCTTAAAGTTTTATTAGATTTCACTGTATTTTTAAAACTTTGTTAAACTCATTAAAAAGTGGGTTCTCTATCCAGAAAGTGCTGGTCTGGAATGTCTGGTGAATCTCCTGTGAATGCGGAAAGGGATCGTTTTTATCTAAATGTCCTTCTATCAAAGTTTTTCCGACGAATGTAGTTCTGCAATAGATAAAACACCCGAGTATTATTAGGGTAATATTAGTAATTTGTAATAGTCATCTCTCAATATAATAGATTCACTAGAATAATAGAATCTATTAATTAGAGACAGAGCACTTTTTACATTATTCATATTAAATCAGTTATTTGTTTATGAAACTTGAAATATGTGTGAAATTATATTTTGTGAATTAAGTAATAATAATTTTTATTAATGTAAATATTTTTAATAATAATAAATGCCAATGTAACTGCCTGTGTGTCTGTCACACAAAAACTACTGAACTAATTTAAATGAAATTTGGTACACAGATAGTACCTATAGATCTTGACAAAAAGGAGGGCTATCATACAAACTTTTATTCCCTATTTTATTTTACCCCTAAAGGATATTTTTTTACGAATTGTATACGTATGTATCTACACGTATGTTTGTATATGAATGTAATATTTATTTATATTTAATCAAGAGATGAAAAAATAAGCTTCTAGCTTTATAAATGACGATACTTCCATACGACCTTTTTTTCGCATTGTAAAGTAGCGTATGTAACGGACATAGGCTACTTTGCACAGGGTTCAGACTGTGTACCAAATTTCATTTAAATAGATTCAGTAGTTTTGCCATGAGAGCAAGATAGACGGACTTAATTTCGCATTTTTAATATTAGTAAGGATTAATACTTTTTAAAATATATAAGGTTTTATTTCTATTTATAGTTAAACACTGCAAATATCTTATTAAAAATATTATAGGTATGTCTTATTAGTAAAATAATTATCTAATTAAAAATGCTATCCAAGGTTTCTATTGCACGCGGATAACGTCCCGGGCACAACTATAGTAAAATAGTCGAGTAAATTTTAGAATCCGTCTTAATTAATATTGAAGGTGAGAATAATGATTTCCGCGATAGTTGCGAGGTCTAATGTACAAGTCTATTTTGAAATGTCAAACACAACGTATCATTGACAGTTTCCTATCTGTGGTTGTGGTATTGTAGATCTACATTAGTCTCTGAATCTGTGGCAGTCAGGTTTTATTTATTATTATATACCTATGGTTTTTTAATTTTGTTGAATTTTTTAATAATAATGTATATCAAATTTTTATGACCTTATTTATTGACCTTTAAAGTTAAATAAGTATATATAGTCAATAGTAAATACTATGTGCGCGTGCGTGAAGCATACTGTCAAATTGTGTTTGGCGCGCTGATAAGGACAAGCTCTTTGATCACAATGGAACAATTTTTTTTAGTCGCTCGAGAGATATCGCACATTCGTCACGTATTAGATTGTATTATATATCTCTTTACACGCAACGAAAATGTCTAGTGATGATTTGATTTGTAGTAAAAAAATGGCCCGACAAAATGGCATTGTGCAACCTTTACTCACTGGTAAGACATTATTATTATTATTTTGGAGCGAAATTCAAAAACCTTTTGCATACTTGACATACTTGTTCAGTACTAAGTAACTACGTAATTTGGAAGTAATTAAAGAGATTAAATTGTTTAGTATCAGGAACTTCAGTGCTTATTTTATAAATGTGTAATTGTAAATGTTTTTTAATTAATATTGTAACAAACCACTACAATATAGATTTTATTTTAGCGCCATAATTTATTATACAAATTAAGGAGTGTTATTCTCACCAGTAAAATGTGTTTCTTAATATATCCTCAGATCTGTACCAGATAACCATGGCATATGCTTACTGGAAGTCTGGTAAAGTGAATGATGTTGCAGTCTTTGACTTATTTTTTCGTACAAATCCCTTTCAAGGTGAATTTACAATTTTTGCTGGACTCGAAGAGTGTCTTAAATTCTTAGAAAATTTTCATTATTCTGATAGTGGTTAGTATTATTTAATTTAATATATTAAAATACAGTAAAATGTCACCACCATACCTCAATATAATTGTACATACTGTATAAATAGGATATTTACTTAAATTTTTAAATATTTATATAATCACAGCATATTACAATTTTATATAAATATATAAAAAAAACTACAATAGAATTTTGCTGCGGTGATTGCTGTCTCTCTGTTATCATGGGAATAATATTCATCTTCTTTATTTTGATATGTAACTTTGTCACACATGGCATTTATCTTAATTTAAAAAGGTAAAAATTAAACCAAAGGGCACCAGCTAAGCATTAATATACTTTAGAATTCATATCAATAATAATAATTAATATATAAATATAATTATTAGAGACTGCTCACCCCTGGACAGAAATATATTGGGGAAAAGGACATTATTAGTAATGGGAACTAGTGATACCAATATTAGCAATGTATTATCGTGTCAGATTGACCCCCATGCAGTTTCCCAGAAATAACCATGGTTAATTTGTAATGAATCGCAATAGGCTAACTGACCTGACCTCATGCTCATTTTATCATCCTTCATTATATATTACATTCTATAAGAATTCATTAAAAGGCTTATTATTTTAATTATGTTTTTAGATTGCAAATAAATAGATTACCAATGTTAAATTACTATGAATTTTCAGATATAGAATATTTAACTCAGACATTGCCAGATAACATAGAACCAGAGTTTTTTGCATATTTAAAAGATCTAACATGCAAGGATATCAAACTGAGCGCAATTGAAGAAGGATCTGTTGTATTTCCAAGGTTGCTATTTATAATATCAATATATTATACTCTTTTTAAGAAAAATTTACCTTTGTATTTTAATTTTTTTTTTTATTATTGCTAGGTATATTATTATATATATGTTTATTATTGTATGTATGACTTAAACTGCTGAACAAATGTCAGCCTAAATGTAGACAGAGTAATTTGTTCACTTGTTTGCTTCAATAAAAGAGCATAACATTGGACTTATGTACATGATGTCTAGCATATTTTAGGCCAAGGGATATGGAGCTGTTATATGGAGTGTTAGTTATAGACATTCAATATTTTTATAATAATTGCTTTTATTAAAAGTGTTTCCCATTGAAGACTAAGTCAGAAATTTTTATTCACCTAATTTTTTTTACCGTAAGTTGGTTGTATTGCAATGTGAACATTTTATATACTTTATTAAGCATCAACTTTAACAAAATCAGTACCCAAAAAGGGAATGCAGGGACTATGGCTTTATTAATTTACTAGATTCATCCTCACTGGAAATAGTTCTAGTCATACTATAAAGAAAAAGTTTTACTTTTTCTTAATAAAATATGTAAAATAATCACATTGTAATCCAACCTACATGTGCAATTTAATTAAAGTTACATTTAAAACAAGATTCACAAATGGAACAGTGCTGGTTTTATTACCGTTTCTATTAATAATATAACTACATTTGATATTAAAGATCAATAAAATTACAGAGTACCATTGTTGCGAGTTGAAGGACCGTTGATAACCGCGCAGTTACTAGAGACAACTCTTTTGACCCTGGTTAACTTTGCAAGGTAAGCATAATAATTTAAGATAAATGACTCACAAAATATGACTGAATCTTTAATTATTTATATGTATTTACATTTTGGTACTACTTTGATAAATCCCCTTACAATTTTATTGTAAACATATTTAATACTAGCTGCATCCGCGATTCCTTCCGGTGAAATAGAACTTTATTCTTCTAAAATAAAAGTAGCCTAAGTTACTTAAAACTAGCCTTATTACATCAGTTACTTGTCAATAAAAGTCCTGTCAAAATCGGTCCAGCCATTTTAGAGATTAGCCGGAACAATCAGACAGACAGACAGACAAACAAAAATTGTAAAAAAATGTTATTTTGGTGTATGTACGGTATTTATATTCATATGCACGTAGTAAAAAAACGGTTATTTCAATATTACAAACAGACACTCCAATTTTATTTATATGTACGTGCTTCCGCGTTTTTGTCAGTAGGATACCTAATTAGGACCTACTAGGTGAGGGTCTTATTATATCTATTGACAAATTCGTTTAATTATTATAACTTCAACTGTTATAGTATTTTGTTACTTGCTTTCAAATGACCACAATAGTAGCCGTTGACTTTCGATAAATTGAAATTAAAGGGATCAGACTATAATTTAAAAATATCGAGATCTAATATTTATTATCAGTATATATTTTCACTATTGAAAAAATATATAGTTACATTTGACCTAAAACTCAAGTCGCTCGCTCATCAGGAGACCTGCTAAGAAACCGTAATAAAAATATTAACAGATAAAAAATAAAATTAGCGAGATACGACTGTGCCTACTTCTGATAAATATACAAAAGTTCCATAGCCTATGAGAAAGCCTACGAGGACGTCTTCGTAGTACAATCTATCTTCCTGTCAAATATCATTAATATTCGTTCAGTCGTTTGTTGTGAAAATGTAACAAACAAACAATGTACAGATTCATATTATTGCTACTAAATACATATATGTAAGACATTTAATACATTGATGAATATTATCCCCTACATACTTCAATATATTAATATAATCTCAACAGTTACAAACTTGTCGATTAAGAAAGAGTTATAATTACAATTCGGCGTTTTTGTAGTTTGGAAATAATATCGCATAATTGAAACTCAGGAGGACAAAATTGAGTTGAAATGAGCGAAGCTTCCTGAAATCTTTTTATTTTAAAAGCTTTTATTAAACATGCAATGTTTTTATATAAATACAACAATAATATAGGTAAAGGTGTTGTATGGGCCAGTAAGGATGCGTTTCCGATATATCATGATAATTAATAATTCTAATGATAAATATTTGCATATCACACTCATATCTAACGTTATCATCAATAGTCAAGCTTGACTGGTCAAAATAATTAAAGCCTATTGATAAGTAATCGTTTAATCAGCATATTTTATCTATTTGAACTGAATTTTTTGTGATAATATATCACTTTGTTATATCATTTTCATAACAGTCCTAAACAATTATAAAATAAATTATCGGTTATCAGTATAATGATCAGCCGATGATATTTGCGCCTATTTTACACTGCTATGTAGAGTCACTTCAAGTTAATTCGAAATTCAAGGTATCAGACAAACTTTTCAAATAAAATAATAATCACAGGACAATTCTCACAGCGCCATCTAGACCCAAGTTAAGCTAGCTAAAACTTATGTTATGGGTACTAGACTGATACAAATATATATATTTTTTATTTTTCTGGTTATCAGTATAATGATCAGCCGATGATATTTGCGCCTATTTTACACTGCTATGTAGAGTCACTTCAAGTTAATTCGAAATTCAAGGTATCAGACAAACTTTTCAAATTAAATAATATATCACAGCGCCATCTAGACCCAAGTTAAGCTAGCTAAAACTTATGTTATGGGTACTAGACTGATACAAATATATATATTTTTTCGTAAACACATACATATTTCACATAGAAAACACCCAGACCGATACAAACAATCATTCTCATGAATACAAATGTTTGCGCCGTGCTAGTAATCGAACCCGCGACCATTCGAACTAAGGCAGGGGGCTAAGCCGCTAGACCACAGAGGCCGTCAAATTACCGAGAGTTCAAAATAACAGGTGTTTACATTTCTTGATTGTTTGGAAGAGCAGAAAAATCACGTAAACATGAGTTTGTACAATTCACAAATGTTTATTTTTAAAGGTAGTCCGTAATTTTCTAATGAGTGATTGAGTACAGTCTATCATTGTACAATGCATTTTTTAGTGGTGAAAGCTTCGAATGCTTCGACACGTCATTGTAGTGCATTTTAAACGATTCAATACAAATTATAGAGTAGTAAAGCCCTGACTTCAAATTATGGCATGTTGGAGGACAAGATTCTTTCAAGTTCAAACTTCAGAATTACCTAGGGGACTGATTGGCATAGATTTTATTTTATTTATCGAGTTTTAAATTATCAAGTGACAACGGTATTGACTTTGTATATAAATATACTTATTTTACTACTTACTTCTGACTCACTATTGATGATAGTCAGGCCAGTGACTTTATATTTTAAATATAGTTTTCCTTTGTCAGATAAACATTTAGTAAGATTACGTTTTATGAAATTCCTTCGGGACTAAAGAAATCTATCTTTAGAATCAGTGCAAAGAAGAAGATTTACTGATTTATATCAGTAAATCTGCTTCTATAATATAAAACAAAACCGCCGCAGGTGTCTGTTCCCTTATATCTTCATATTCTCTCTTCCTACTTATTATCTAAATTACGCAACGGATTTTAATGCAGTTTTCAGCAATAGATTTAGTGATTTAAGAGGAAGGTTTATAGGTATTATAAATGCGTGCTATAGTATAAAACAACCGAGCAATTAAAAGAATTGTATGCATCCGTGCGAAGCTACGACGATATTTTTTACATTATGTATATAAATTTAATAAGATATTAAAATTGCATATATGTATTGGAGATAAATAGCTATAACATGGCTAAAATGTGGTTCTACATAGGTACAGTACCTTTTATTAAAGATTTGTAATTACGATACAAAATGAAGTGCCGGCCTTTGTGTCACTGTTAGGTATATCTAGAAATTACAACTCAATGCGACGGCCACGGTGGCTTAGTGGTTTAGCACACCGTTTTACTTCCGATGGGCGAGGTATAGTATGATTCGTTGTATCAGTGTGGGGTGTTTTCTATGTATGTATTAAAAAAAATGTATCTAAGTATTTATATCATTGTTTCATTGTCTACTACCCATAATATAGTTCTAGTTAGCTAAGGACTAGATCGCGTTGTGTGGAGTGTCTATCTATGCATATTATTACTATTACGCGATTATCGATGATTACGTCCTGTCCCGTGTACAAACTTTTGTTGGTACCATTTGGTTTTTTTGTACATTTTACATGGAATATATTTGTTTATACAGTTTGATGGCCACAAATGCTGCACGTTATCGCATGGTGGCTGGAAAACATGTCTCTTTACTGGAGTTCGGATTGCGCCGTGCTCAAGGACCGGACGGTGGATTATCGGCCTCGAAATACGCATACATAGGTAATGATCCACGATTACACTTAGCGACATGAGCTCGTGACCTAGTAGTTCACCGGCTCAATTTGTAGGGCGACATCTTTAATGACCTTTATTAATACCGTTAGCAAGTTTTATACGCTTACATAAAGGTAAATAAATGTATTTTTTTCATAAGCTTATAAAACTTTGTGAAATAGATGTAATTTTAGGCGATAATTTTATTGTATTGGGTTAGTTTAGTCTAGTTCACTTTTTTAATTATCCTTTACAGTGTTATGTTGAGATTCTACGTCGTATAATTATATATATTGGGTATATAAACTGGTATTATCTAATACACTTAACTTATTTAAATATATTGTACTCATATTGTTTCCTATTGAAATTTGGTCTTTGTATTTTAGTTTCACCCTAGTCAGAAGCATAGTTTTCTATTTCAAAATTAATAACAGCTTGGCGTAGTATGACTCAGTTTGGTACCATGCTCTTCCCTCTCGAGCACGACCCTGCAGGAGTCTAGCGTAAATTAACATGTTTTTGTATTGATTATAATAGCGTGTTTCCGCAGCTTGGCGGCTGTAATCGAGCCCCTCCGTGCCTGGCACAGAGCACCGCGCTTCAGACTCGTGCAATATAACACACCCCATCGTGCCATTGACTCATGAGAAGCCTCCAATACCGAATACATGTTTATTTAATAGCTTTAATCAGGCGACTCCACGAACCTTGCCCTTGAACGCCTCGCACCGATGGTATTTTTTAAGCATCAGCGGAATTTCATGATGTTGTCAAGCAACAATTTGTTTGCTTAATTAGAAATATTGTGAAGTATTGTTTCAGATCGTTCATACATAATTATTATAAATTCCAACACCAACGTAATTACCTATATAAGAACAATATCTCTGTATGATTGCTTAAACAGTACTCGCCAAGTATATTTTTATAGAATGGGCTCATATAATTTCTAAAAGTTCGATACCTTGTAAGTGTGGATATTTAAATGACACCTTACCTTCCGATAGTTAACACAAATATGGGTATCTGTCTGTTTATCAAAACCTCGTGAGATGTGACGAGATCGAAACCTCAAGACGTTGTGATATGTGACGAGTTCTATTTATACATTTTTTGTTATTATAAATACAGTCACTCTTTCCTTTTCTAAATGAAAAAAAGAAATGAGATGACAGAATTATCTGCTCTTGGGTAAGAAAGTAGTCTCGTACTGCATGCGTTCGGTTTTAAATATTTAATTAGCATGTTATATTTTTACCATATTCACGATCATTGTGTACTGGTAGTATAGAAATGTAAAGAACGTACAGATTAATGTATATTATATTCCAGACACAATAACATCTTTTCAGGTGGGTTTGACGGTACAAGCAACGTGTTAGCTGGAAAAATGTTCAACATACCAGTGAAGGGAACCCACGCGCATTCTTTTGTGACGTCGTTCAGCACGTTAGACGATGTCAGCTCCGTAGCTCTGAAACACGCGCAGACACAGGAGCCGTGCAACTTGCTAGAGCTGGCATCGGAGTGGCGCAAGAAAGTTTCCTCCGTCATAGACATATCTCCAGAAGAGGCGAGCGACGGCGAGTTGGCTGCACTAATATCATATGCCATAGCATTCCCGTCAGGTTTCATGGCTCTAGTGGATACGTACGATGTCAAGAGGTATAATTTTCAAGGCTTACCATCACGACACAGGCAGCGTATCAATGGGCATACTGGCTACAATAGCAACTGTGGAACCAATGGGTCTAGAGTACAAATATCACCGAGTATACATAGTACATATGGATATAGCACGGTCGAACGCACACTGAGGTAAAATGCAATAGACAACTCATATTGACATTTGGTGTCTGATATAAATTTGTATTGTTTTGCATCGTTCATTTATGTCTAAGTTATGTGGATTTTGATTATGAATTAGAATTATATTTTGAAACTGACTTGGTCCAGTTGTTGCCATTTCATTTTATTTTACATTTATTTATTCATTGATGGGATGGGCATGATTAACACACGGGCGGATGGTAATAGTTACCAACAAGCACACTCGTACCGTACACGCTGGGACCTCCCACGAGGCCGCTCTAACATGAAACTCATGGCCGTAGTACGATTTATTTTATTTCGCTTTTTCAGTGAAGCGTATATGGACGGCGCTTCATATAACAACCGAATGTAAATAAACGAGAACACAATCGAGGAGACCTTATATTTGCTTCAGTGTGACGTATTGTCCTGGACCTATGAGCAAGATTAGGGGCTACCTTAGTCATTGGGCACAGTTGCATTGTATAGGGATATGCACATTTCACAGTAATTAATCTAATTGCATGTATACTCATCGTATGCCTTACACTTTGGGTAGCAAGTTGTCAGACAATTTCAAATTATGTAGAGCTAGTGTATTTCTATAGTACACCACACAGCCATGAGTCAATACAATGTTGCGCTCTATGACATCATATTGCATTCCCGCACCCACATTGAATACAGCGCGTAATTTAATTCCTGCATATAATAGGCAGTATCAGTACATTTGACTTGTTAGCACATACCTTTAACTAATCCTGACGATAACTTAATGGAATAAGCATATATCAAATTACAAATAACAATCTTAGTTTGAAAGGGCATGTTAAATGAATGCACATTTTAGTCACACAGATATAGAATAAATTTATATGAAGTATATAACTATGGTATAACTTGGGTATCTAAGCATTTTCACATAATGAAATAAATTAATCATCATCACCATATCATTATATTGGGTTTAGTGTGGGACAGTATAGCGTCTTCATCAACATTCTCTTTAACAGGAGTGGTTTGCTGAACTTCTGCGCGGTGGCTTTAGCATTAAACGACTGTGGCTATAGGGCGTTGGGTATACGTATAGACAGTGGAGACTTGGCGTATCTGTCAGTGCTGGCTAGAGCGACATTTGAACAGATTGCCGACGCATTCGAATTACCTTGGTTCTGTAAACTGACCATTGTCGCCTCCAATGACATCAACGAAGAAACCATTTTAAGTCTAAACGAACAAGGTCACAAGATCGACAGCTTCGGAATTGGAACACATTTAGGTACATATTTAATTGATATCTATAAATAAATGTACATTTTCCGCGATTAGTTGCGGTATATTGTAATTAGGTACGTGATTTAATGATGTGACTTAAATGATGTTTTTCTTATAATTCGAGGTAAACAACGTTGTAAACAGATAACATTCATGTATTTACAGTAAAAAAATATGCCGATGGTACTCGCAACATAGCGATGTGCATTTACGTTTTATGTAAATTTATTTTATTTGTTACACAGCTTATCTGTGGCATGTAGCCCAGAAATTATTTATGCTGTAGCAAAATCGTAAAGGTCGATATGTACGTGTGTACATTTAGTTCCTTTTCGCGAGAATTAGATGGGAACCTAAAATTAAGTGACGTAATCCATTTCAGAAATTTTAAACATAGACTAAATTTTGTTTGTCTGTTACATCTTTACAAGAAAATAAAGTAATCATAGAGAGAAATATTGCTAATTACTATTACTAACCAAGATTTTATATTTTATCGGAATATATTGAGTGACTTGAGATAAATAACTTTCCTCTACCGTTATTTATATATGAAATAGCGTAGAAAATTAAGATTTTTGTTTTATTTGAGATGGTTGGCACACGATATATAGAGATAGATTGAAATGGATATTGAGTTTGACTTCAAGAGCAGAACTGCTGGTTTTGTTTTGATCTAATATAAAGTTAGAATAAAACTGCCTATAAATGAAATTAAATTAATGAAGTACTATTTAATAAATTGTATACTTATATTCGTAGTGACATGTCAACGCCAGCCCGCCTTGGGATGTGTTTATAAATTAGTAGAAATAAACAGTCAGCCACGCATCAAGTTGAGTCAAGACGTTGGAAAAGTGACCATTCCAGGACATAAAGAGGTAAGAGCTTTTATAGTATTTTATTAGATACACCTTTGTTATAATGTTCTAAAGAGTTTATATAACAGTGTTGTATTAAGACGTATTAGATTTCGAGATTGATTGTAATTTTCGAAAACAAAAAATAAATATTTTTGTTAATATTATAATGAATAGATAATTATCAATTCATTATCCTGTAGAACATATCGTCATGTAATTCCATATTAAGGAGGGGTTGTACTGTGAGAATTGCCTTTCTAAACTATGTAGTTTTTTATTATACATGCATACCGCTGACATACATATATATAGGTACATATATTGAACGCATATATATAAATAAATATCAAAAACATAACATATACTGTAGATATCAACATATCAGACTCATGAATACAAATATTTGTATAGATCCGTAATCGAACCCGTTATCTTTTGAAAGTAAATTCGTGTACGGCTAAACCACCTAAGTCATCTATTTATGATCACCTGTCCTCAGTTTATGCATCATCTGATTTTAATAGTTCCAAATTCCATTTTCGAATAATTTTTCAAAAAGTATTTGCAGAAATTACTTGATTCAATATTAGTTTTGTTAAATATAATAGTAATTGTTTATAAATATATCATTGTACAACTTGTAAATGTATTGGATTCGATAACGTAAGATACGTCGTATGTTTTATCTCTATAGAACACAGCAAAGTCGCTGTTTACGTCTGATTATTTCTAAAGTATGCGACGGATTTTGATACATTTTACTTTATTTTAGTTTGAAAATTTCTTCCAGAAGATTTATGTTCATTATACTTTAAATGTATTGTAGAGAACGGCACCATGTCAGGTTGACACTCTCCACGCGGAAAAACTATAATGATAATTTCCTTGTGAATTTCTCACGATGGGCTAACTGACCTTATGTATGTTTAACTTACCATCATCCACTGGAGTCCCGCCAACACGTAAAACAAAAACTGATATGTTTATGTTTTTCAATAATAATTGTGTGATGCGCTGGCGGGGCGGGCAGGTAGTAAAATGTATTCTGCAGTTGTTTATTTGTAAACTGATAATAGTTCACTGATCCTGCTACAATGTTTTCCATTTATCGGTTACTGACATTATAATTATACCGTCATACTCAAATGGGTATTAAACAATACTTTCCCCGTCAAAATAATCATAAATTTTATTGTAGTATGATAGGTTATTTAATGGAAGATACTAAACATATCTAATTTATATACTAATAAGACTCGGTGTCTGTTTATCACTCGTAACTACATCATTAGCTGTTATAATGATCGTGACACATAAGACCAATAAACGTGATTCCATGTTCGTAACCGTCGGTAAATATTAGTGCGTTTTTTTAAGTTTTAAGTTATCAGAATGAAAAGTCATGTTATCCATTTTATTTTCATACACAGAACATACTATGGTTAACTGCTTTATGATAATCAAATCTGCTTTTTAATATATTTGTATTTACGAATGACGAGCTCTCTAGACAAACAAAGAACTTTTGATTCCATTTTTAGAAGCAAAAAGATATAGAAACAAAAATAATCGTTTTTATCATGTACACGATGTGTTCGATATGAAAATAAAAATCATGTGTGCTTTATTGAAATGGGTTATGAGACCAAACAGCGTCGTACTGATAAGGCAAGGCTATGATACTTTGGCATCAAATATTATATAACTGATAAACAGTACGTGTGTCTATGAATACCGTTCTTATTTTTTTAAAAGACACTGTTTAGTAGCTAAACACAAGTTCTTTCATATATTTTATAGTAGTGTTTAAGTAATCCAATAAATTTTCCTAACATTTGTGCATATATTATTATCCTGTCATTGTGTACTCATTTGGTATTTCTTATCTTTATAACACTACTAATTTGTAAGATAATAATATAATGGAAATATACGGTACCCTAGCTATTTCAAGTGGCATTTCTCGCTTTACGCCTAAAACCATTAAGGGGGTCTTCCTATGTGACGGCCTGTTTTTTAGGGATATTTTAGGATTTTTTTTTCTACGACCAGTAAATATTTAGAGCTTCAAGTTTTTTATCATTTATTAACACATATTTGGACAGTATAAATATAAAATTTCAGCTAAAAATATTCAGTCAAACTAGAGTTACAGCGCTCTGAACACCCCCGCCTCGAAAAAAAGAGCTCCCACTTCCTCCACGATTCCGGCTGATCGGCTTATCTGAAAAAAAAAAAAAAAAAAAACGGCGTTTTAATTTGTAGGCTTAAAAGCACGGAATGACCTATAATCAAATGAATATAAAAAAAATTGGATTTTTGATAGACATTGCAAATTAGGCGTTTTTTTTTTTTTGTTTTTTGCTATAAAAAAATCGAAGTTTTGAAAATTTTCGATTGATAATAGTTCATTCCATGCGTTTACATATATTGAGTGTGCCCTGTAAATTTCAAGTAATTCGGTCCAGCCGTTTCTGAGATACAATGGAGGAAAGTTTGAAAAACACAGTTTTGAGAAAAATGCGTTTAAAGTTTCAAGTCCGTTAAAAACTATTAAAATATCAACTTACTCTCAATCGGCGATGCCTGGTCCATAGAGTATTCCTTCCTCTTCCTCGTGAAACTCTTTTAAAGCAGATTGTTCAGCTCTTGAGTCAATCCTGGCTTGTTTAACGACATCACTTACGCGCCGCTCAGAGCGTAAGATTCGCTTTTCATCCCGTTTCTCAACATACCCTTGGGCTTCACGACCAACAGGGCATCCCATAATCGACATAACTTTTAAAATACCTTGAAAACCTTCATTAAAGATAATAACTGCTAAGTAGCTAGCAATTTCAACAACTTTGGGACCAGAATGAAGATGTTTAGGAGCGAAAGTCCAAATCAAAGAATTCAAAGCCTAGGCCTCGGAAACTTGATCGCGAAATAGACACGTCACTTTTACAAGTTTTACATATAACTATTTCAGAGATTGCAGCAAATACAGAAACAAACTCCAAAATGCAATATGCGAAATTCGAAGCGATGGGAACATTCATGTTCATGTTATTTTTAAGTTTTTTGGCCGAAACTGATGTAAATACCGTATCATTTTGGTGGGTAAAACGGTTTCCACTAAACTTTCTTTTTTTACTACGACCAGGATGAACATTTCCACTCGTACTTCCTTTCCGTCCACTCATTATGAAAAAAAATAATTTGTAGCTGTTGCTCTCTTCGAAGTTCAACCAAGACTAAAATAACTTCGGTAAAATATTATAACAATAGAAATTTCTGTTTAAGTCTGTAGAAACGTGTCTAAACTTGTATAAACAAATATATTAATAAAAGGGAGGCCAGGTATAAAGCCGACGGTACACAATAAGCCCGGTCTCTAACTGCCAACTCACCGCTCCGAACCGCTCTTTCTTTTACCTGCTGTATCTTTAAAACGACTTCGAATTTTCTAAAATCGCTTTACTACCGTATTCTAGACATGTTAAGGGAGCAATTTATGAAAAAAAAAATCGATTTTTTCAACCCATCACATAGGAAGACCCCCTTAAGTTCTAATTATATGAGGTTCTAGTATTTATTACTTACTTATTTAGGTTGTGTAAAGAACTCCAATGCAAATTATATGCTCCCAGTAGTTAGGCAATTCGGTTTTGATAATCCAACTAATAAAAATCTGTATGTTATACGCTACAATTTACAGTGGAGACTCCAAACTGTATCTTCTGATTTACCCCACTTATTCTGATAAAATCATAAATCTCTATACGGACTCGATTATAAAATTCACTTTGTAAATTTATTAGTATGACAGTAATTGTAAAAACTACTCTTTAGTTAATAAATATTCTAGTAAAATAAGCGTTACCTGTGCCTTCGTTTGCACAAACTTTCTTCCTATATTTTACATATATATTTTACTATGTATGTGTTTATTATTGTGATAGAATGTATGTTCGTTAAATTAAGATTCATCCAGCCGTTTAGTCTTGAAAAGGTATACTCGTATACATACACACATTTACATTTATAATATTATTAAGTGAGTATAATAATTACATATTTTATTCTTAACCACAAATCAGCGTTAGTTTCTTTATATGCACATTTATCATCATGTAAATGTATTAGTCTTTAATAATTTGTTAATTGACCTACATCGGAACTGTACTAATGGTAATCCATTTTAATCGAATTGTATTAAAACCAATACAAATCTATTGTAATCGACCTTTATTGATATTAGTTTGAATAATGAATTATTATAACATGTCAGGTCATACTTATTCGTTATACATACATATGCTTTTGTTCTCAGGACGTATCACAACTTCTAGAATGTCATTAACTAACTATTTATGTAATATGTTTTTACACTCCCGATTATTTGTCAGTGTTAAAATGTATTTGCTTTATAAATACACTAATGAGTGACTTTGGTGACGTCACAACTAAGTTAACAATAACTATGTTATTCAAGAAATTGATAGAGTTGTAATAGAAATAGGTAGTTTATGTGGAAACTACATGAAACCATGTTTTGTACAACTTAGTACACTGATACTTATAAAATGCGTAGGTATTACATGTTTTGTTGATTTTAATTTTCATTTAAATTAAAAACACTTCTTTTCCCAAAAAAATCATTTTGTCTGAAAAATATTTGGTTCATACTATGACAATTATTTTTTTGTTTTTGCCTGTGTGTGTGCGTTTTTACCTGAACACACATATATATATATATATATATATATTAAAGGAATTTAAACCGAGGTAGGCTTTGTAAAATATCTTTTGCGTGTACGGTGTATGTCGGTTGATCGGTGATATAAGACAGTGAAATTACAGTATATGAGGGATGCATCTTAATACTTGAGTGAGGTATCACGGGCGTCACATGATAACTTGATGACCGTACTGCTGTTCATGTACATGTTCTTACAGGTGACATTTACCAGTCACAATAAGATGTGCCGTCAGCTTGCTATTGCAATATAAAAAATAAAGGTGGTATTTACATTTGTTTTAATAATAATAATATACATGTATGCAAATATTGGTGACATTAACATGCATTACAAATAAAATTGACAGCATGTATTACATGAACACACACGTATTTACAAATAGCCACACTAACAGTATAAAGCAATTAGAAACCAATATACTAAAAATAATTACTAAAAAGGACTCCGCTAAGCACATTGATACAACCTAAGCTACAGTGGAGACTTTAGGGTAAGTAATAGCCCATAGCGTTATTAAGGGTACAATTTATATTTTACAGGCTTACAGATTATTCGGAGCGGACGGGCATGCCCTCATCGATCTACTACAGAGATCATCGGAACCCGCACCAGAGGTTGGCCAGAAAGTGCTTTGCCGGCATCCATTCCAAGAATCCAAGAGGGCTTACGTCATTCCTAGTAAAGTGGAACATTTGTATAAGGTACAAATCTATATACATCTACGAAATTATAACAATAGTGTAAAAACATAGTAAATTGTTTAGAGCCTTAGTTCGTAATTTATTACCAGTATGCGTTCAGGTCGTTTATATTTTACTAGTGGCTATACTTCCATACTGCCAGGTTCCGCGGGTATGTAGTGGTATTAAAAAATATTGAAGCGGTCTTTATAGCTCTTACTTTATTACTCCGCAATGACACCAATAAAAGATTGGTTGAGACTTTATTCTGCTATATATTTATACTAGCCGATACGTGCAACTTCGTCTGCATCACACTTACTCGACATTTATCATTATATTTCGTCCATTTTAAATAATATCTTTCTAAATTATAGTCTATGGGTAATTCTGATGTATAAGCTATATTACTGTAAAGTTTCATCAAAAACTGTTCAGTAGTTTTTGAGTGAAAGAGTAACGAACATCCATCCATACCCACAAACATTCGCGTTTATAATATTAGTAAGACTAACAGAAGACAAGCTAAAGATAGTAGGTACATTGATTATGTTATTTACAATAGTATAAAGGCTTTTAAATATATTGATGCGCATAACTTTATTCACCAATGTAACATCAGATTATGATGTAATATTATAATACAGGTGTATTGGCAAGATGGTCGTGTATGTATAAAACCAAAGCCGTTGTTAGAGGTACGAGAAAGAGTGCAGTCGTCATTGCGCACTCTTCGACAAGACATTAAAAGGAGTTTGAACCCTACGCCATATAAGGTAAGATTTCTAACTAATAGTTAAAATTGTCGGGTATAGTAACTTGGACTTGGACCTAAACGTCATGAGTTCGTATCTGGCCGACTAACTTTATAAAACACAAAGTTATATTTCTAATTAAATCTCTAGTGATGGAAATACTGATATCAAAACAAATTAATCTATGATAGGCTTCCAAATGGTATCATAGTTAATATATCGCTAGTATAATGTCTTTAAAGACGGAAAGAGAAAGAGGGGTAGGTAGTTAATGAAATGGGAATTGAAGGGCACAAAAGAAACACATGAGTTGCACGTAATAGAAATCAATGGAGGCCTATGTCATAAGACACACTTAACTTAACAAATATTATATAATGTCTTTAAAGGTAGACATCGTGCTAGTCAGCTGTGTTTTAGTTATAGAGTGAGATTAGATAGTTAAATTACAGGATAAAAGGCATATATAAGGACTATAGTCCTTCAGAACGGCAACGCGTGAATGGTTTCACATGATGTCTTTGATGCTACTCACTTATTTGCCATTTGTTCAATTATATTACAAAATAGGTACAGTTGTAAAAAACTATGAAAATAGTTTAAAACATTTATTATTATATCTACATGTGTACATTCCATAACCCAATCATTCATCAAGAGAAAAACTGGCATACACGACTATATTTATAATGTATGTATGTTTATTTTTATTACAGGTGGCAGTTAGTGATGATCTGTATAATTTCATACACGATTTGTGGCTGCAAAACGCACCCATTGGTGAATTATCGTGAAAGTTAAAATATTCACTATTAATAATTTGAATACTGTTTGAATAACATGAGCTTTAAAGATAAAGAGCCAGATAAAATCATGGAAATGTTCTGAAAACATACTGTATTATGTATTTTACAGCTGTAAGCGATAGAGAATATATTACAGGCACGTTTTTTTGTTATATATAACTCATATGTAATTACTAAGCATGTAATATTATATTTACTATAAACAAATGGTGTTAGCGGATCACCATGTCTTTTAAATGGACAGTTTATATTACTTACTGTGGATATAAAGAGTTGCTTATTTTCCTATTAGATGTTACTAATGTATGTAGCATTTGAATAAATACAAATATAAATGTAATTAAAGTAATTTCAAACCAATAATGGATATGGCAACAAAAAGCTGGCAGTTTTTTTTATTGTTTATTCACAAATCATTGACAGGTTTTTAGATCAAATTGTTAGCGTGACTTTTAATTTAAGGTTTTGCATTCCATATTTGGACGTAAGAGTTAATCAAATCAACTACGAGTTTATGGTTGAGCTGTTCATTATTAGTCACGTAATTATAGAAATTCCTAGCCTTAGATGTAAGTTACTTAGATCTTATATAGTATATATAATATATTTGGATTTATATCTCGTGGCTCAGTCACAATACGAAACATAAATATATATATTCTTGCAGCAACTGGCAAACATCTTGAAAGAAAATTGGATATGATAAAAATAATTTGGGTTTATTCGATTGATTCCAGTTTTCAATGAAACGGCACAGCGTATTGCGGTTTTACCGCCACGGAAGTTAATTACATGCAGTTGTAATGGGGATACTTTTGTAATACTTATTGTTGTGTTCGTGTAAATAGCAAATCGTGCACAGTTAGTGATTGGCCAAGTTATAAAAATCTATGTAACCAAAGTTTTATTTTGTTCAAACTATTAATTTCTCTTGAATATTGTTAATATTATGGTACACAATTATGTTATGCAACAAATGGAAAAATGGGCCTAATTGGCTTGACTGATTCACCAATCGCGAGATCTTTCTGGAACCTTCTGGAACTTTCTATTAATAATACCAGAACGAAAAATCAACTGTGCTATATTTCAGGATGTTTTCCGGTGACTGTGTTTAGTGTACTAAGAATGATATTGGGAACGCTGTACAAATTTTGTATTTATTGTTAGCATTTAGTTACCTTTTATTTTATAAGTTTATTAGTTATATTAAATCGGTATCGGCTGCTTTACAGGTCCAGAGAAGCTATTGTTTTGTATCAAATATTGGTATTAAAATAAAACATATATTTAATTACATCTATTTTAATAAGAATTTGGATATCAATACCTAATAATTTATCATAATATTTGTGTCAAGAAAAATATTATATAAGCTAAGTACACTTCTATAGTGTTCAGGGTATGGTTTTTGCAAAATTATGATTGTATCACAAATTTTTTGGGCGTTGAGATTGGCACAGTAAAAAGGACAATAATGCCCTATTTGGGAGAAAGGCAATATATATAACTTGTTTACCGAAATGCACTTATTGTTAGTATTTAGAAGATAGAGGAGGAATTATGGTAAATATAAATATTTATCGGATTTATATAACAATTGTATTATTACGCACAATACTAATTTTCTAAATAAAATAATTTTCACTTAACTAGTTCAAGAAATTAGACTTCTTTAATGAAATTTTAAAAATCGGCGTATTTCACATTTCTACCAATCAAAGCATACGATAACGTGCTGAAATGACATGACACTGTATTATTAAAAATTTGGTCTTGTTTGTTATAGTATAACACTATGATATTTGCAAAGAATTAAAGCTTCTTTTTCTCTATTTCCGATACTAATCAATGGTAATGCAACAACATCATGATGTTTTACACATGTTATATTGCGAAAAAAAACATGTGTCAATACTATATGCAATAACTGCATTTAAATATACCTTTCTATACCAGTTTAGTACTAGCACCGGATTTGTTATGTGTAATTAATACAGGTTTTTAAAATTCTGCGAGGTAAAAGGATATCGCAATGATTGTTCGAAACTGGTTTTTATTTCACTATTCTCATAATATAAATAAGTTTTCATATATTAGGAATAAAAATTGAGCTGAAACGCTTTGAAAAAACCCAATTTTAAATGCACTTAGCATTTCGAATTAGGTACAGTAATAAATTACCATTCTTAAGCGCTTAAACCAAGTTTATTTGAATTATGTTTATTTATTATTAAGTGTCTCCATAATATGAGTTGAAAGTATTAATTCAAATAATTTCAGATTTGTCTCTATTTAAGTGGAAATAATTTTAATTGTCACTTCAAAATTAAAAAAATTGCATTGAAATCGATTCATAAAGATAAGAGACAGCGTAAATGGTATTTACGTATACCTTCAAACTATGACATGAGAACTTGTAAGTAGTAATATTTGGAATAACACCGCAGGCAGCGGCGGCCTTACCCATTGCGAGGCTGCGGGCTTTGCGTTGCATTGCTTTTTTTAAAATTGTTTTTTTATTTGAATATTTTAGTGTATTTAATTGCAATTGTGATTAAATGCCTAAATCGGTTTTTACAATTTGCCACTAGGTTACATGCCACTCACTCATTTAAAATTTGCTTTGTTCGACGAGGCTCCTGCAAGAACGAGGCCCCGGGCGATTCCTCTGTTCGCCACCCCCTAAGGCTGCCACTGACCACAGGGTACTAGGGCTGACCTACTGAAATATAGTACTTTAAAATACAAAATTAAAGAAAACTGTTCTTGTTATGCTTAGTTACGCCTTAATTTAAATTCAAATTAGTTATGAGTTTATTAAGAAAGTTCTCATAACTTTGCGCTTCACCACTCATTTTTTCTCAGTGTTTGCCACTGTAGTCAAATGGACCATTAAACAGGAGTTAGTGGGACCACATATTAGTTAGTTCAGTGTTCATTCCAAAGTGACGTTGCAACTAAATTCGCCTATCGGAATAATGTGATTGTGTCGATAATTTTATTTGCATTAAATAAGTAAGTTTTCACATCGTAAGACCAAATGGAAGATGATGGATGAATGCTGTAAGATACTGATTTAATAATACAGCTATAATCTTTAGAAGCCGTGGCGAAGAATTAAGCCGCTTAGAATTAGTTTAATATGTATGATGGATTTTTCTTAGTACTCATATACCTTTCAAACATTAGTAATGTTCTAAAGTCTAGAATAGTTACCGCAACTGGCTAAGAGCGTGGATAGTCATAATATGTGAGAAAATATATATGTTTCCGTCACTTGCTGATTTATTTTTAGGCAATTTAAAAATATAAAAATGTGGTCTGGGTCATTCATGTGACTGTTAACTTGGTAACAGCACCTACAATATACCTATAAAATAATATTGTAAGAAATAGCAAAATAAAATATTAACTCCATTAAAAATATCTATGTACGGTCTGATAAAGTACCTACCGACACTACAATCATAAACTGTATACAAGTATAACGTATTGCTTTTTTAAAATAATTATCTATTATTACACCTAAATGAAGCGATATTTTTTAAATTATTAGAAGTATAGTGTTAATGGTAAGTTTTTTTATAAGTACTGAGATACCTACAGCAGCGAAGTACAATAAATATATTTTCATTGTTGTATGTTATAAAATAAAATACTAGAGTATAATTGGCATATTATCTGTAATAATGTTGTTTATAAAATAAATTATTTATTTACACTAATTAATTTATATTTATGGCGATTTTAAAATCGTTGCAATCCCCTGCATTAATTACGAACGCATGGTCAGCATGATATTTGTAACATGTAACAGTCACCCAGGACCATTCATACAGCGTTAGCTAGTCCTAAGCTGTAAGTGATAATAAGTTTGTGTTGTGGGTACTAGACAACTGATAGAAATACTTAAATACATACATTGTTTTGTAAACAGTATTTAGTTTTTTTATTTATATTCTGTGTCTTTAATAGTGCTTAAGAAGATTGCAGCGATTTTCTAAAATAGTTATAAAATGACATATGTATTATACATAATATTGATCCATACCTATATTAGACCATCTGAACAAAAATACCTATGTGCCTACATATTTTTTTTAATGTGCCATGAAATTTTACGCACATAGGATTATGCACATTTGGATTTGCTAAGTAACGTAAATGATTGTAGGTATGTATAAGTATATTGTTACATCATACTATAAATAAATTAATGCACTGGCCTATATTGATAATTTATACTTATCTATTTTTACATAGCTGTACTTGAATAAATATATAATGCACATTTTATCACCTTTTTACCGGTTTAAATATGGGGCTTAGAGAAATTATAGAGTAACTATTTTATAATTTTGTTTTAATTCCTATTAATATCCTTGTAACTAATATTAGGTACAATATAATACGCTTCATGTTCTCCAAATCCTCCCATAACTCTGTACAATATACGTACCTACTCATGTGTAGGATGGAAATATTAAAAACTACAGATCAGTTTGCTACTTCAAACCTTCAACTTGTTTGCTGTCGTTTCAAGTATGATCTCGGAATCGAATACAACTACTGAGACAACTAAGTTTCATTTTATAGAATTGATCGTTCAGAACGTTGATTCTTTGATAGGTCAAACGTAATCCTATCTAACGCCCAAAGTATACATATACGAATATTAATGAAATAAAACTTTCTAAGTGGAAAATACTGACTGAATAATCATGAAAGTGTAAAGATGAATGGATGTTTGTTAGTCTGTCACACAAAAAGAATATAATTATGAGAACCTTAGACACTTCACACAACGACATTAAGAACCAAGCTAAGCAGAACTTGTGCTATGGGTAGGTATTAGACAATCGCTACAAATACTTACAATTTTTTATTAGTGATGAACCGCGATTATGGGAAGTAAGGCGGAGTACTAAACCGTTAGACCACCGAGACCGTTATACCTTAACTCATAAAATTATATTATTATTGTGCAATTTAAGCGTCTAAATTAATCATATTCTACAGTAATAAGACAC